TTTTTCCATAGGAAGTTTTTCTGCAGCCTTTCAACCTTCTTTTTAGCTCATAAACATAACGCTTGCACCTCTAACAACCAGCCAAGGGTTGGGGTGTTAGTTCTATGCTTGTGAACATGAAGTAGAAGGCAGACTTCCAGTTGAAACAGCTTTGCTAGAGAAACATTGGAGCGGGCCGTCATGCCTTTGGCACATCACAGGATGCAAACCTTGTTTTTACTGAAGGTAATTTTACAGATCTGTCTGGAGGCATGAAAACCCAAAGGAAAGCAGAGAGAGCTCTTAATATCTTTTTCCATCTGTGATGCAAAGCACATTCAGACTTTGAATTCAGCCATCAAGAAGAACGGTGCCTGAACACTGTTTCTTGACCTTTAAAATGCAGTTATTTTCCAAATCAGTAACCAAATGCACACCCTTTAGGAAGTTTACGGATGTGCATTGTCCAAGCGTTTCACATCAATCTGGGAAGAAGTGTCTGAGTCAACTGGAAGAAAATAGGAGGTGGACTCTTTATGCCTGAAAAAACATCACCGGTGATGTTTTTATAAATGGTCTTATATCAGTAAAGACCCTTAAATTGTACTCACTGCTGCTGAGTATTTGCAAGCCCACTTAAACAAGCGAAGGTATTTAAATGTACTAATTCCTTTCACGTGCACTGATGTGCGCAAACACGTACAAATACAGGCTTGACTTTTCCAAGTCTCATTGCTGCTAGAGCAGTCGTGTAAGACGGTGAACAGAAGCAATTCCCTCTCAGCAAAGGGAATCCTGATCCCACTCCTGTGGGAATTTCTGGTCTCGTATTTGCAATCAAGAGCTACATCTGTAACTGTTTCTGGAGAAACGGTTTTAAGAGCTGGAAAAGGTGGCTGTGGAGGGAATACTTCCCACCATCTCAGTCGCTCTGTGGCATTTTCCAAAGCCACTTAATAGGTTTAGTTTTCTGATTGCTGGCCAGGTAATTGTTCTGTATCTCACTTGATTTCAGGAAAACTACATCTAAGCATCTTCTCCCCATGTTTTCAACATGCTACCACATTGATGAAACAGGAGTTAATTTCTGATTGAGCCCAGAAGCCTGGCCCACCTTCTGGTGCCCTAGAAAATTTTCACTCAACTTTGGCAAATAAAACCTTTCCCAGGCTTGTAGAAAACCCAGGGATAACTTAGGCCTGGGCATGAAATCATGTCATGTTTTCTGTGCTTTGCTGCATGGCTGTGTCTTGTTTTACTAGCGTTTAGGGGATGTTTAAGTATCATTTCAAGGCTATTTTGGCAAAATCCATCCTTGTTACTCAAGTAGGGTGCCTTGATTCTGACACCAGCATCTACTGTCGGCTGTGCTATAGTAAGGTCTTCTGTGTCTCAGAACTTGCTCCTCACTTACTGCTGGGGGTGCTGGGTATAAAATGGGCTGCAAAGCTGATTCAGTTTAATATTAATTATTCTTTCTAGGGGAAAATATCTGAAAAGTCAAATGGTTTGAATTTCCTTTCACAATGGAAGGTGGAGGGAAGAGAGGAAATAACCTAATGCATAGTACCTAGTCAGTGCAGCCACCTTTTGCAAATCATATAGTACATTTAAAAAAAAAAAAAAAAAAGCCTTTTGCAATGAAACATTCCCCCAGAAAAAAACCTGGAGTCCAGAAGCTTGTGGTTTTTCCGGTATGTCACATGTAGAAAGCAACTGGGTGTCTTGGCTTTTTTGTTCGTGTTGTTCGAGGAGGGAAAACATCTGACACATGGTCTCATGCATTCAGAACTAAGAAGAGCTGATGTTGCAATGTAAACGTGGCATACTTCGGTCTCTTCTCCCGTTCTGGTTTTTCCACACAAGTGTAAGGTGGGTCCTGACCCAGATGCTCCCCCAGAAAAGCGAGTACCAGTTCCCTGGGGGGACTGGACACGTGGTGCTGAAAGTGAAGAAGCTAAGGTCTTGATGGATTTCAGTTTAGTGAGTAAGTGACAATCATTTGAAGTCACCGGCATGGTGGCTCCACCTTGCCGATCTCTCAATGAGCAGGAGGAATCGTTCCCACAAACCCATCGCGTTACAGCAAACGAGAATACACCACTGAAGAACTGGGGTGCAGTTTGTTCTGATGTTAGCTGTGCTGTTACCCTCCAACGCATCCTCAGTCCATCAATGATAAAAAATAAGCCAAAGTATTTGGGTTTTCCCTGTTCCCTGGAGTATCCAGGTGTGCATTCCAGATGATAGTTCTTTTCTCTGGATTTTTTCCACATGCCAGGAAGGGCAGGTTTTTCAACTGGTGCAGAACCAATGAGCCTTTTGCTAGACCTCAGGCATCTGCTGCTGTGGGTGCGTGTCTGGCTGTCCCAGTGTTCCTGCTGCTCTTCATCCGCTTCTGTTCTCTGTCTCAAGAAAAGCGTTATGTTGCTTGCGGAGAGAGGGAGCAGTAAAGCTCTGCAACTCGCTGGAGAAATTTACAGCCAGCGAGCTCTGCGCTGGAAGGGGTAAGGGGGGGGATGCTGTCTCCACACCAGTAAGCAGAAAATACCTGCAGAGCTCCCTGCTCTGCCCACACTGCTATTCCATTTCCCCCTGGACATGGTCATTGTCCCACCACAGGCAGATTTTTCATTTTTCCATTAAAATAGAGTTGGTAAAGCAAAAGTAATGTTAGCTTGAAGGAGCAGAAAGCTTTTCCTCTTAAGATGCCTTCCCTCACGTATATTCAAAAATCCAGCACGCCAGGGCAGAGAAAGTTTAGCCTCATCCAGGCATCGTTGACCTCATATAACTGCTTCGTGCTCTGGAAGGAACATCATGTTCAAACCATTGTTTATTCCTGTTTCAGTAGTCAGGGCACCGAGTTTGCTTCCTCAATCCGCTTGAAACTGTTAGTGCATCCCATGGCCCTATGCATCACCATTCAGCACAAGCTCAGAAATCACTGCGTATTGCTCGAACAAGCACTTACCCCTCTAGGAGATGAGGATTTAATCCTTTACAAGGTGGGCATTGGGGTCCTGAAGCAAAGCCCTCTCCACCCTTGGTCAGCAGCGTCCAGACTATTCTCTTCTTGGAGGTCTATAGTGATTTTGATTTGGTACAGATCCCAAGTCCATGACAGCAGCTGAAATTCCTTGACACAATGTCACTAAAATCATGGTGGTGTCGGGTAAACCAGGCGCTGAACAGTGGAGTATTGCTGACCCCCGGTTTTGGGTTTGTGGAGGGGGCAGCTTCATCGCAACAGTCTTTTCCTTCAGGTTTGGTTTTGTTCCGTTGTGGCAACAGGTTCGAGCTGGTTCATCGTTTCTGGCATCACCAGGAGAACCACAGGTTGGTTTTGTTGTGCTCTGTGCATTGTGAAATTCTCTGCTTTGCCAATAAATAATTGTAAAAAATCCCAACTGTGCTGTGGGTTGATTTGTGTTAAAGACTGAAGGTCAGAGCCATCTGGTCAGCAAAAATTCCCCATTAACCTTTTGTCTTCTTCCAGTCTCAAGACTGCTCATCTTTTGGTGTGTTGGTTTTTTTTTCTCTCTTTTGGAAACTGATCCTTCAGGACAGTCATTGTGTTAAGTATATTTTATGAAGAAACCAGAGTTTCTAGTGGTGTCTCCCCTGAGTATTTTCAGCAAATTTCATTAGGCACCTTCAAAAAAAGCTTCCGTAATTCTCGGTTTTGCTACAAGAACTGGTCCCTCGGGGGGAACCAAAAATGCTGCTTTAAAAACAAACAAACAAAACATACAAACAAAAAACCCAAAACACTCATCCTGATAATAAATTCAAAGCATCTAGTCCTTTGTTCGTAACCTCTCAGTCACCCTAATTCCAGATCAGCAGAAGATGCTGTTGAGATGTTCCCCTGTAGCGTACCAACAAGTCGAGAGTTAGAGAAAGGTGTGTCCTGCCGCGGGGTCTGGCGAACCCTCTGCTCCTACTTGAAATTCAAGTATCCAGGAGAGCATCCCAGACCCGAGGAGAGCATCCCAGACCTCAAGCTGGCCCTCGCGGGAGGAAGGGGCTGGGAGGCAGACGATCGACCAACATCACGGTACTCCTGCTCCGCCAAGTCACCTTCTCCTGACTCGAATTTTCACGTGAGGCATCACAGAGTTTATATTTTGGGTCTTGCTTTGGCCGTACAAGACCACGGTTGGTGGTGAAACACGAGGACAAGACCAGCGTATGCTTCGGTGAGGTGAGTGCACCTTTTTCTGTTCTTTCTTGCTTTGGCAATGTCACTGGTCACAGGCTACATGCTACCAAAAAAAAAAAAATTTTGAAAAAAAAAAAGAAAAATGGCCACCAGAAGTGCTTGCTCAGTGTCGCAGGATTTGTGTCAGAAAACGAACAAACGGGAAGTGACTGGCAGATGTTTCCGGTCAATCCGGAGTCTCTTAGATATTGCAGAGTGAGTGTGTTGTTAGCACGTGGCAAGCTACATAATAGAAGATGCTACATTCCTTGGAAAAAAAAAAAAAATAGTGCTGAGTTGGATTTTTTTTCTGAGTTTTTTTTCTTTGAAAAGCTACCTTTTCCTCAGAGGCAAGGAAATGAAATCAAAGGAAAAAAAAAAAACCTCGTCAACATGCTGCTTGCAGCGGCGCTGAATGAATCAGACCGAGATGCTCTCGCTGGGTGGTCAGGAGAGAAACACGTCGCTTTGATTCCTTTCTGACGGGGTGCCAGGACGAGGTGCGGTAACAGTCTCGGGATCGGTCGGCAGTCGCAGCCCCCGGTCTGCCTCACGGCGGGGGGGGGGGGGGGGGGTGTTTTTTTTTTTCTTCTCCTTCCCCCTGCCTCAAAACACACAGCCCTCGCTCCCTCTCCAACGTCCCCCTCTGCGCACCAGGATGCGTGCTCGGGGAGGAGCGTGTCGAGAGCAGGTTTGTTTCAGGAAGGAGATTAAAAAAAAAAAAAAATAGGACAGGATATTTACAGCTATCCACTAACAGTTTTGGTAGGTCAGGACGTCTCCTTTCCCCTCCCGGCCTCTCCCACCAACCTGCCGCCTACGGGCAAGAGGGGCTGGTGGAACTCTCCAGGGAGGACTGGGAGAGACGGCGCGTCAGAGGTCCGATGCTGGAATCGGCCAGCGAGGAGGTGGGGAAGAGTTTGTACCAACCCGCGACCGCGCTGGAGAGATCGAGCTCCTCCAAGATGATCTGGGCCATCCCCATGAAGCACTTGTGGTCCATGCGCCCGTAATCTCCCCAGACGATCACCTGTGGGGCAGAGGAGGTGTCAGGGGAGCTGCCCCGCTCACCAGCTGGGAGTTTTGGGGAAAACTCAGCAAACTCGGTGTGCCCGGCCAGAAAGGACCTGCCGCGATTGGGGTAGGGAGGCTGCAGTCTGAAGGACAGCAGTGAGGACGCTGGGTTTCTATGCCGTGTCCTTGCTCCCCTAATCCCTCCCTGTCCCCAAGTATCTCGGGGGGAGTACATCACCTGCAGGACTTTGCCCTGGGGGCTCTCCTCGAAGAGCAGAGGCTGCTGGTATGATGGGTCACAGGTTTTCTTCACCACCTTGGTCTTCTTCTTGGCGAGGCAGACGCCGTTCTCCAACACGTAAACTTTCACGTAGGTGGCTGCATTGGAAAACGGGTGAGAAACAGTGATTCGGAGCAGGCTCCTGTGATGGTCCTGGCACAGCGCCCTTCTCCATCACCCCCCCCTCCCCGTCCCCGACCCGCTCCCTCCCCAGCCACCTACCAGGGATGGACTTGGAGCCCATCTTCGGGATAAGTCCCCTCGCCTGGATCACCTCCACCTCCAGCTGCCCGTTCCGGTCAGCCATGCCAACGTGGACATCGCCTAGGCGGAGGGACGAGACGTGCTCAGCACCCTCCCCGATGGCCATCTCCCACCGGGGATGGACGCAGCCCTGCGTCCTTGCCAGCTCTCCCTTTTGGTGCTGCCAAAAAGCAGGTGGGAGAAGTCGTCTCCAGGGCTGGCAGCCCCTTCACCCCCCCCATCGCTGCCTGCTCCCCCATCCTCAGCACCCAGCGCTCAAGCACACCGAGCATCCTGCCACCGGGTGTGTGATTTATTGTGAATTTGGAGGAAGGACAAAGCCGAGCTGATGTGAAGATGCTTGGATTTGAGTAGCGGAGAGAGAACCGGGCGAGAGCCCCCTCCTCCCCACCCTCCCTGCCAGCTCCATCCCACGGCAGCCTTGCAGGGCGATTTTTTTTCCCTTGTGATGGGAAAAGGGGCTGGGATTAACCGCGAGACCTCGGCAAGGGCAGGAGAGGCTGGGGCAGGAGGGGTCGGTGGCTGAGCACCCCAGAAGCCGCCAGTCCCCAGCTCCCCAGGGCACTTCACCAGGGTCCTACCCCGCTCCCTGCGGAGCAGCATCTGCGGGAAAAAAACGCGGCCGGGCACCTCTTGAGCTTGGTGCGAAGTTGTTCTCCCACTTACGCTGTCCTGCTCGTACGTACATACGTCCCTTGGCCGGTGGGTCCCTGTCGCTCGCTGCCTTGTGGCCCCAGGAAGGGAGTGGGGACAGGGAAGGGGCGAGCTGACGTCCCAGTGGGGTTTAATAGGAGCGAGATGAACCTGGATGTTCTCAAAACACACTTGGCATTTCAACAGCAACTCGGGGCCAGCACCGGGGGCTGAGCGAGGAACCAGCCGGCAGCAGAGGAACGAGCCGGGGGAATGGCAGGAGCCGTAGGGATTCGGCATGCTGCGGGCGCTGCGGGACCTCATCCCAAGGGAAGCCGATGTTGTCCCTTCCCCGGGAAGGTGGGCAAACCCAGCGGGGTCCAACCGCCCCCTTTCCCTTCCCTTCTCTCCCACGGGGGTTTATGGGCCAGCAGGACCAGTGATGGCCTGTGCTGGGGGGGACTGGGAGTCAGGACGGGGGACCCTGGTTCCTGTGGCCCCCCCGGGGCAGCTCTCCCCATTCCCAGCAGCTCCAGCCCCTCAGCAGGACACGGGGCAGACGCCTTGGTGTGCCCTGGGAGCAGCCGGGGACACGCTGCTGCTGGCTGGAAGTTCAGACTTAGGGTGTGACTTTCTGTAGCCATTTTGGATTTAAAAAGGAAAAATGGAACAAAACGCTGTTTGGTTGGGTCCCCTCTGCAGTGGGATGCTCGGAGGAGGAGCTGATGCACAGCAGAGGGGCAGAAGAGGCCTCAGGAAAAAGCAGAGCTGCTGCTTTCCCCGGCATGTATCCTGCCCTGAGCCCTCCACGGGACATTCCCTCCCCTTGCAGAGCCAACGGCGGGAGCAGCAGGGGAAGGCCAGAGCATTTGCAAGCCATGCACCCACCCGGCACGTGCTCGGCAGCAAGGGATGCTGCCGGAATCGAGCCCGACCCCCAGAACCAGAGCGTGCGGCCGCTTCCCCCCCCCCCCCAGCACTGCAGCCCCTTCCCTCTTGCTGGAGCATCCTTTTGCCCTGCCCAGCCCCGCACCGGGCGAGACACAGCCCTTGCTTTGCTGGGCTGGAGACGGTACCCCCATCCCCGGGCAGGGACCCCCACCTCGGCCGGCACTCACCCATAGGCGGGGTGGCCAGCGTCTGCCGCCCCACCAGCTGGCCTGGCCCCAGCCCGTCGAGGAAATCGCTGAACTGGCTCTCGGCGCCCAGCCGGGTCGTGGGGAAGATGAACCTGCCGAGGAGAGCAAAGGGCTTTTGCAGAGTGTTGGGCTGCCGGGTCTCAAGCGAGGGTTTTTCCCCCCGCCGAGAGCACAGGGAGGGGTGCCCAGCCCCGGCTCCCGTCCCCCCGCAGTGCCTTACGTGCCATCAGAGCTGTTGCTGTTGGTGCTGCCATCGGTGGACTCCCGGCTGCCTTGCCGGGTGACCCTGGTCCTCATCTCCACCGCGATGCCGGTCTCCGTGCTCCTCCGGATGTTGCTGCGCAGCTTTTTGGGACCACCCTCTGGAAGCCGAGACAGGGGGTGAGCCCGGGAAGCGCTCGCTGCCCCCAGACCCTCCTGCGGGACAGGCGTCAAACCAGATGGAAGAACCGGGTGCTGTGCACGGCCAGAGCCTCCCCACGCGCTGCTCCCTGCCTTCCTTCGGTATGTTATTCATTGTGATTTATGCAACCTTTCCCTGGGGATGAAATCCTGCAGGACCCCGCATGGGCACGTGTCCCGGTGCCATGCACACCGTGCTGGAGAGCTGTGGACCGCCTGTGCCCCCCCCGCCATGTCCCAGCCCTGTCTCCCTGCAGACCTTGCTCAGCACCAACGCCATCGTGCCTTTGCATGGCTGAGAGCCCCACCTGCACCTCAGCTATCTCCCCCACATGCTGAGACCTGCCATGCTCAGCTCACACGTGCTGACACCATCCCAGCCCACCTCCCGGCCTCCAAAATCCCCAGCGCCCCATCGACGTGTGCCGATGTCCCTGTGCCACGGGGGACGGGTACCCCCAGTGCCGCAAGTGGGCACAGCCCTGACGCTGGCTGATGTTCTCTGTCTGTCCACGCAGTTACACCATCCCCACCGCCATGTGTCCCAGGCGGTGGCAGATGGCAGGAGGAGGAGTGTGGCACAAGCATCCATCCCCGGCATCGCCGGCAGGCCCGGCATCGCCGGCAGCCCTGCTCCTGCCATGTTAGAACGTGTGTGCCGGCACTGCGCCACGGCTGGTCCTGGGCGAGTCAGGTTTGTCCTGCTAATTCGGGGCTGCCCCTGTGGAAGCCTTTGCCTGATCCTGGCAGCCCCCCTGGAGCGGGCGCTGCTCCCCCGGGCACTGGCAGCCAGGAGGGTCCCGGTCCTGCCGTCCCCAGGTGCGGTTCTGCCTGGCTCCGGCACTTTTTGCTTAGCTTTTGGGGATAATTATACCCCTTCAGAAACACCTTGGATGTGCAGGGCTGGAGGGCTCCAAATTAACTCCTCTCTTTATAGAACATCTCCCGAATCACAAAATGCCAACAAGAACCGGAATAAAAAAGCAATAACTAGAGAAAAAGCCTGCACTAAGAATGAGCTTTTTGCTTCCCCCGCCCTTTAAAAAGCTATTTTAAGCATTTAAATATTTCCCAGAGCCAGACCGTTTGACAAGTCCTTTCTTCGAGTTCCCTCCTTCCCTCCCTGCCTGCAGTCAGGACTCGCCATTACTGGTGGGGGCACACTGAGCCTAGACCCCCCATGCAGGCCAAGCTCCGGCAACGTCCCCATCTCAGGTTTGCAAATGATTCTTGGCACCTGGAGAAGTACCGGTGTGCCGGGGGGGGGCATTTATAACTGGCATTTTTAGGTGTCCTCATCAGACACAAGCAGCTAGAGCATTGCTTTGGGCAGCCAGGAGCATGCACTTCTCCTAAAAGCAAAAGGCCGAGCTGGGGGGGGCTGGCAGCGCTGTTGGGGGGGGGTCTGCGGCAGCTCACCGGTCTGGTTGAGCTGCAGCGTGCTCTTGCTCCACTGGGACAATCCCACAATGGCCACCATCTTGGCACCCAGGCTGGAGCGCCTCTTCTTGCTGGCGGTGACGGTGACGGAGTCAGCGCTGCCCCGCGCGCTCTTCTCGATGTTGTACATCTCGCCGCTGATGCTGGAGCTGCGGACGACATTCCTGGCCGCCGAGGAGCTGGCATCCCCGTTGAACATGGTCAGCCGCTCGCGCGCTCGCCGGACCCGGTTCTGCTGGGTGGGATCAGCTGTTGGGGGGGGGGGGAAGCCAGGGGATGTGTCAAGGCCACTAACGCTGGGTGGTGGTACTGGCCACGTCACTGCTGTCACACCTGGAGCAGCCCCGTGGGGATGGACAGTCCCCCAAAGCACCATGAAATTCAGGTGGCACAACCCATCGGGACCATTTTTTCCCACCCATCGGGGCAGGGTGCGGCAAGGGAAGGGGTGCAGGACCCCCCCGTCCCCATGCAGCCGGGTTATGGGGTGGACCCACCAGCCCTGCCCCAGCACCCCGTGGGACCCAGGCAACCCCTGCCATCCCGGAGCGACCCACCGGTGGGCAGAGGGCTCGGTGCGTCACCAACCCACCTGGCTTGGGAGCAGGAGGGGACCCTGATGCTCAGGGACAGCCCCATCCACCCCCGCTGCGGGTGTCCAAAATTGCAACCGGCAAAGTTCCTCCCACACGTCGTCTTCTCCGAACTGCGGCTGCAGCATCCCTACGTGCTGCTCCGGGCATGCCTCTGCTCCACCCCGAGATGGCTGCCTGCCACGGGGGCCAGATCCAGCCCCTGCCCAGCAAACCCCACCAGGCTGCTGTTGGGGTCCACAGTGAAGCCCTGGCAGCAGACAGTGCCTGGAGGGGCCCCCCAAATCCGCTGAGGGTGCCGGGCTGTTTGCTGGCGGCAGAGGCTGCAACCGAGGCTGCCAAACCTCCCGCGTGGTTCCTGCCTTCCCTTCCCCATGAATATTTAAACTCCAGTGGGATGGGAGCATCCATCTTCCAAGGAAAGGTGAATTATTAACTCCAGGCCAAGTGAAGCCACTTTATGATAATGGATGGAGGCAGCGCCTGGAAAAATATTTCTCTTTCAAGAAAGAGAGACGGCTGCAAGCGCAGAGAATAACTTATGGCTGGGAACGGGGGCTCGGGGCAAGGCGGGGGGCTTCTGCTGCCTCTTGCCATCAGGGGAAGGAGCTTCGCAGGGGCACAGTTGGGCTGAGACCTGATGGGAGACGCGGGCTCAGCTCCAGCGCCGCTGAACTCGCGGATTTATCAATTACAGAAGGGATGCAAACAAGGGCAAGTGGGCAATTAGTCATTAATATCATTAATGAGCTCCCAGAGAGCAGCCGCTGTTCCACGTTTCCCTTCTGGCTGATGTTTTCCTCCCCTGCTCTGCCCAGGCTCCCGCAGGCGAGCGCAGTGACCCACCGCTTTCACCCTCCGCTTCTCACACCCAGCGGTGCTCGTTGCTGAGCGGGACCCCGGCATGGCTGCTTGCATTTGGCAAGATTTGGGATGTGCCAGGACCGTAGCACATGCTTCCCCTCACGTACACGTGTGGGATTTTCTGCCCTCGCTGCTCAACAGACGCTTGCACGAGGGCTCAAGCGCCTCGGATGAAGCCGTCGGCACCAGCTCCGCAGCCTGGAGCCAGCCTGGAGCGGCCGTGTGCCGACGGGAAGCCGAGATGGGCGAGAGCAGCCAGCAGCTTTGCCCTACACTCAGCATCTGCTCGAGGAGGGGTCGGGGCTGAGCCACTACCTTTGGGACCTTTGGGATGAACATCTTCCGATGCCACCCGCCGCTCTCCAGGAGCCCTCCGGGCTCCAAACCTGTTGCGGCTGCTCGCAAGGGCTGGGGTTTCTCTTAGGAAGCGCCTGCCGCGAGGAATGGATCCCGACCACTTCCCCAGGGCACCCTCTGTCGCACTCCGCTTCCCTTCCTCGTGCCTCAGTTTCCCCACCTGCAAACCTGATGTTAGGCTGTGCCTAAACAAGTGCGCATCCCTTTCCACGAGGGCTCAGCCGGGCACAGTGCCCAGCTCAGGCCTCTCCACGTGGAGTTACGGGCGAGAAAAGCTGTGGCACAACCGAGCCCTGTTATTTGTATGGTCAGGAAAACACAAAAGGCTCCTGCTGCTGTTTTCCCCGCTCGGCGCTTCAGCTGCCAGGAGAGCACCGGGCTCTGGTGGAAGCAAATTAGATCAGGAGAGCGCAGCGCTAATGGTATCATTTCCAATGCAACACACACAAGGATAATCCACCGCAAAGGAAGCAGAGCACACGCTCCTCAGCCCAAAGGAAGGATTTTCTTTACTCTGCCCTTAATTTTACCCGTTATCTCTTTTCACAATCTGCTTCTGGCCTCTGCGGAGAGCGGGTGCCGGACAGGGAGATCACGGAGGTGCCCAGTGCTCGCTGCTGAGACAAGCTGAGCCGGAGACCATGCCCGAGCACTGGAGTCCGTGGCTCCCACTGCCGAGCTGGCCTCAGCACCGCGACAGCATCCTCGCCTGGCACAGGCAGCCCTGATGCTGCCTCTGCCCCCAGCTCCCGTTCCCCAGCAGCGGGTGGGGGATTCAGGGAATGGCACCAGGTTTTCCTTCCCCCCCCCCCCCCCCCCCCCCATATTTTATTTATTCTCTACATTGCAAAACACCGGGATTCGCAGAGCAAACGACTGCGACGCTCCAGCATGATCGCATGAAAGCCCCTTCCTTCCCTGCCATGGAAACACATCCCCGAGCCGCCCGGGGTGGGGGGCAGCACCCGCAGCCCCCACCAGCGCTTACCGCCGCCACGCACCCTCCTTGCGGGAAACGACGACCACCACCGCGAGCACCGAGAAGTTCTCCGGCCAGCCAGTCCCGGTTCCCCCATGGGCTGGGATAGATGCCCGGAGCCACCGGGCACCGACTGAGCAACCGGGAGAGGTGTCATGGCTGTAGCATCCCCCCCGGCTGCTCCGCTGCTTGGCGGACACGCAGCCAGCGCCCGACGCCGATGCACAACGCGCAGACAAGCATCACCGGCTGGAAAATGGGTTCCCGGTTGCATTTTTGCGAGGCTGCCTGGGCCGAGCCCTGCCCTCCCCGCACTGGTACCCCAAAGGAAAAAAGGAGACGGAGGCATCTTACCGCCCTGCGCAGGTGGAGGAGGACTGGGCAGTTCTCCCCGCTGAGGAGGCTCAGCCCCCCAGCCCCATCCCCGGCTGGAGACGGAGGGTGACGGGTCTGGTTAATCTTTAAAGGGTTCTGGAGAGCGGGGCTGTGCTGGAGCTGCTTCAGCATCTCCTTCAGCATCTCCATGGTTACATTGCTGACCCAGTTCTCCTCCCAGCCCCAAGCAGGGGCAGAGCGGTCCAGCGGGGTGGGATGCGCCTCAGTGGGGTGGGGAGGGGGGGCACCCCTGTGCCAGGTTTTGGGTGCCCTACAACCCCGCTGAGTCCCCCCAGCTGAGTGTCATGGACTTGCTGGGGGATGACAGAGCTGGGAAAAGTGGGGAGCAAGGCAGCACAGAGGGTGGGGGGGTTGCAGGCGACCCCAGGGAGCGGATGGGGCTGTACAGCCCCACTGCTGGTGCATCCCAGTGACTGGACGGTGTCAGGGGCTGCATGTGGCAAGGAACAACCCCGGGGCTGTGAGGGTGCCCTGGCCCCAAATATCCAACTGAAATAGAAACGAGGGGCAAAATATTGATGGGGAAAATTGGGTGCTTTGGCAAAAGCTCTGGGGAAGGAGGGAAGACCCCAGCAGGTGCCCCCACACAGGTGGGGAAGGGCATCTGATGGTAGGTGGGGAGGGGGAGGAGGAGGAGGAGGAGGAGGAGGGAAGTGATAAATGAGCGTGGTGGGGCTGGCTGGGATGCTGCCTTGCTAGGGAAGGAGGCAGAGGGATTTTGGGGGCCATCTGCTCCCTCAAAGTGGGTGTCCCCAGGGAGAGAGGGAGTTGGAAAGCTCTGGCAGTGGGGCAGCAGGTCCTCTTACCTCTGGGCTGCCCCTGCAGCCCCCGGCCCCCTCCACCCTGGGGCTGCCTCCAGCCTGGAGAGAGAGAGCACTGAAATATTGCTGACGTCTGGAGCAGGTAGGCCCTAAAATCAGCACTTTTGGGGATAGAAAAGCTTGCTAGAGCTGCCGCTACAAGGCCCTGCCAGTCCTGAGCATGGCACAACGCACTGGGGCGAGCCACACCAGCACAGCTCACAAGCACGTGCTCCTCCTTGCATTAGGAAGTAAGGCAGGGGCTTATTTCCCCTAAAAGTACTTAATTCTAATTAATTACTTCAGGTTTGATAGGCAGTTGCCCATATAAATTTAATTGCCCAGCAAGAGGTATAATTCAGTGCAGACGAGCTGAGAACTTGCAAGTAACTCCAGCTACTGGAGTTAAGCATCTCATTGCTCAGGCAGGTTACAAAAGTTATATTCTGGCTGAAACTTGCTGCAGGCATGGCATTAATCCTCCTGCACAACCTCCACAGGAAACAGAAACCTTGAAATTAAAGGATGGGTCCAAATGCACTCCATTTGTAGGAAAAGTGGAGCTTAGAAGGGAGAAAATGGGATGGGGCGAAGCCGGGGCTGTGCTCGGGGATCCTGCGGGAGCAGCTCCTGCCCAAAGGTGCTCCAGCCCATGCCAGCCCCTGCCCGTGCTCCTGGAAAAAGGCCTGACTGTTGCGCGAGCGAGGTTTAGCAAGCCTGCGCCTGGGAGGATGAAGAGGAGGAGGTCCATGGGGCAAACCCCAGGTCATGCTCCTGCTGGGTTGTTCCAGTCCAGATGATTCTCCAAAAGGCAGCTGCCTGCGCTTGGCTGGGAGCAGGAGGACAAAACATCGGAGCTGCTCTCTGGGAGGGATGGCGGAGCAGCACCAGGACCTGCTTGTGTCAGTGTGCTTCGCCGAGAAGGCGACCGTGCAGCCTGGTCTGTCTGCAGCAGCCAGAGGCTTTCCACCAGGATGGGAAGTGCTGGTGGTCGTAGTGTGGGTGAAGAGCTCGGTCCTCTGCACAGACCTGCCGATGGGATGGTGGTAACAGCGGCCAATGCTGTGGCCTGGGGATGTCCCCAAGGGCCGAGAGATGGCTTCATGGAGACCAGCTCTTCCAGTGACCCAAGCAATGCATCGCATCTCTTCTGGGATAAGCAGTGGGATGGTATTCCTCAAGCCTGGGAGCAGGTCAGGTCTGAACAGCC